ATAGCGAGCAGAGGGCAAAGCCCCCTAGTCATTCTTTAAAAAATAAGGGAACATTCAATGAAACTGAAATGCAGTTAAAACAGCTCAATATTTTTATACAATAAATAATTATTCTTTGGAATTCATTACCACAAGAGGTCACTGAGTGCAAGACCATAGCAAAATCCAGAAAAGGATTAGGCACTTATAGCATCAGCAACATCTGCAGTTATATTAGGACAAAAATAGAAGAGCTATCAACCCTTGTGTTAGGGATAAATTTGCTTCTCCCTAACTGCCAAAGACTGGGAAGATGGTTCAACTATGGAAATGTTCTATAATTGTTCCCTACTGGGATTTCTTCAGAATAATCTGGTACCAATCATTATTGGAGACAGAATAGTGAGGTAGATGGATTGCTGGTCTGATCTGTTATGACATTTCTATGAACAGCCTTTAAAAAAAAAAAAACCCCAGATCATAAGACAATGGAGAAAACGCTCCCTTAAGAATATTTTAAAACTATTTACAGCGAAATGTTATTCTAAGGTGCTAAACCAAATTACTATACCACTTTCTTTGTCTTTTTACTTGTAAACAAGACCAACACTTTGACAATAAGAACAAATGTAGACCGAGCTTGCAATTAAAAAAAAACCTGTCAATAGCACTCCACAATTGCTGCTTTTATTACCCAACTCCCCCCTCCTAAAACACTATTACATTTGTAGCTGTGGTAAGTCGCCAAATTGCTTTATTTCCAAGGAGTACAGCTACATTTAAAAAAAAGCCTTTTGTGCAATATATTCCACTGGCTTAGCCTCATTAGTATTGCTCTAGCATGCCTGTGTTCTTGACCAGCATCTTTACTTAGTACAGAGATATCCTTTAAGGAAATTGAATGCTACAAGGTCTATATATCAATTTTATGAAGCTATATTTTCATGAAATCTGTAAATAAGGTCAACATGATAGGGATATTCCAGAAGACAGATCCCTTTACAGTTTTTAAGAAAAAGCCTGTTTTCCTGTAAGAAGTCAATTTACTTTTGACCCATGCCTATTAAGAAGAATACTTTGTATAAGCTGAGGGAAAGTATAATTCCAGCACTTTGGCTTTTGATAAATGTTGTTAGATAGGTGTATGTAAACGTAGCTACCAATAGTTAAAGTAGTAAGGCAATGAGGACTTGGGATGAAAATGAAACGTAGCTCAGTATTTCCTTCCAGACTGTGGGCCCAAGCTTGCTCCCCCTGGTATCACTGACTTCAATGGGGGTAAGATTGGGTTTTGTTTCACGGTGGAAAGATTTACAGTTTTTCTGCCTGTCCCCCATCACCAGCTAATCACAGCCTATTATTACAAAAATGATTGAACTTAGGTTAAAAGGTCCAGATGCTCTCCAGGTCAGTAGTCACTGAAAATCATTATACCTTGATGACTGTTCAGTGGCATGTTAGAAATAAATTAGTGGGCTGAATCCAGTTCCCGAGGAATAGCTGCTCACCATGCAAAAAACACTACCATGGGGTGACAGACAAGGAGAAAAGGTGAACGAGGAAAGACAAATGGAATGAGACAAAAAAATAGAAGTGTAGAAATAAGAGAACCACGGGAGCTGGACAAAATAACAGTTAAAGAGAATGGATCATAATAGTTAATCTAATAAGAATATTTTTTTTAATCTTTAATCACATCACATTGCCAGGACAAGCTCTTATTCTCCAACAGAGAGATCAGATCAGATATTATACTTGAATTTAGCTAAAGAAAGAGAAGGACAAATAAAAAAAGTCACATGAGCAAAAGTGAGCAGAATTGAACAAATGGAAGAATATTGGAGAAAGGAGATCAGAAGCAAGAGATGGGCAACAATAAAGACACAATCCTGTAGTCCAGTACACACACTCACATTCTTCTCTGTGGGAATTACATGCACACAATGACTACTTAGTCAAACTGGGGAGAGCCAGAAAGACAAGGGTTGACAAAAATAGGTTAGCGTTAATAAAAAGAAAAGGTTGTATTTCATTCATTGAATTGTCATGGTTCGGGGCAGTAAGTGCACATCAACTTAAGAAGTGGAGAGAAATGAGTAGCCAACAGAAATTGGATCCATAAAGTTATTCTAATCCACCTTCATTTACGAGTATGCAGTTCCTGAAGACAGGCTTTGAGCAGAGGTGATTTCAGCAATGTGAATACTGCACAGTTGTTACCAACTCCTATTTGGTGACTCTCAGATTTCCTTTCAGCCTGTGCAGTCCAGAATCTTTACCCCTCTGTTCTTTAAAATTCCACATATATTTCTTTCTTTCAAGGTTTTAATTCATGCCTCAGACTCTTGTAACCCCAAATTAAAAAAACATTTTCCTTTTGTTCTGTACTCAGCCACATGTTCTCAAGGATCATTCAGGTGGGGAGCCCACCTGCTGGGATTTGGAGCCAGCTTGACTAAGATTTACTTACAACAGCAAAGGAGCTAAATAATCACTTTGTCACTTGGATGGCACCTATTTTATTACAAAGGGACCCTCTTAGAGTCAGTTCCTAATTTCTATACAGCAACGACCACTTACTTTTCAGTTCTGACTAGCTTTGCAATGGAGACAAACCTCCTATTTGCAGAAGATGTATATACAAGTTGGAGATAACTTGTTTTGTAAAATACATCTGATTCTTACAACTCTGGCGGGAATATTTTATATCTGGTTATACTGCTGGCTAGCTCTGTTGCACCAGCAGCAGCCAGCACTAATCAGGACCATAGCTTGGGCTCAATGTCCAAATCTTTGTGTAGGAGGAAGCCAGATGCAGAAAAATTAACATTTTTGTTCCATAACTAATAGTCCTCCAGAAGTGGAAACCAAGTGTAGGAGAAAGAGCCTGATGCATGGACCTGGTGTAAGACCCAAACCAAAGTAAGCAAGACTTCTTCTGTGTATAAAAGACAGTGTCATGGAGCAGACTCACCACCATGGCGCCTCCAGCTGGTTGCTCTGGGAATTAGTTTATTGACTCGCTGGATGCCTCCCTCTAGCTGGTGTCTCCCTGTGTTCCTTTTTGATCACGGCTCTCCAGCAGTGCCCACGCCAGTCTGAGCCCCCTTCCAGGGGGAGTGGGGTTTACCCAACTGCACACTTCAGGGTTCTCCCCTCCCAAGGGGCACCCAGTTCTTCTCCCAGGAAACACCCAGTTCCCCTGTATCCACCTTGCCTCGGTGACCCACTGTCAGTCTCCATCTAGCCCCGGTCTCAGACTGCAGTCTGTAATGGCCACTCATCACTGGCAAAGGGGTGTGGACCTGTTGTCTTTGACTAACCTGGCTGCTTCAGGCCCTGCAGCCTGGGAGTTTGCTTGGCCAGAGCTTCCCCAGCCCTGCTTTCCTTCCCTAGCACTGCTCTACCTCCAGGAAGCCTCCTGCTTCCCTGGCAATCAGGTCCCTCCTGATCTCTCTCTAGAGCAGCAGTAAGTTCCTCTCTCCCTCCAGGAGTCCTTCTTTATATAGTCCCCATGTGGGCCCTCATTAGCAAGATGTAGGGATTGGGGTTTTGCCCTTAAAGGGCCAGTGCAGGGTAAACATGCTGTCACAGGCAGGCTCTGTCAAAAGCAAATGTTTGCCTGCAAGTCAGCATCCTGGACATGAACTCAGCACTAGTACTGCTAAAACACATGAAACATGGGAATACATTCCACCAGGATAGTACAAGAACCCTTCAACTTAGCACACAATAAAATAATTTGACAAAAGTAATAAATAGTGATATTTTGTCTGAAACATTAGGAGTGAAAGCACAATAACAGTTGGTGAATAGGAATAGTTTGGCAGAAAGTACAAGAGGTGGTAACAAATATGTCATTGAGATGTAAGATGATAGATAAGGTGTGTATCACTGATTGTCTCAGTCTATAAATGTTGGGGTATCTCAATTTAAACTCTGTCTGGTGAAGGGGACGGTGGCAAATCCCATGCTACTGACTGAGCTGAGTCCATTGTCACAGGCACACATTCTTAGTCTCTTTGTAGGGTCTACTAGGTGCTATTATTGTGCTGCATTTACAATAAACCTGACTCAAGTTGCCTTTATCTTATCTGATTCTCTGTTCCTTGAGAGCTCTTGGAGTCTGCTATGCTGGTAGACTCCAAGAGCACATAAACATGCACACAGACGAATAGTTATCATTGACAGAGAAAGAGAGCTATTAGGACACCACATTGATGCCGTCTGAACAACTACACCAACACACTAAATAGTGATGTGTGATACCATCTGTGCACTTCACAAGATCCATACAGGATGTTCATTTAGAATTAATTGTTCATCCATCTCTTGTCCTTCACAATGCTACTCCACTGTTTAGCTTTTCATCCATATGTAGCTATGCATCTAACCTACCACACACGTATTTAGTTTTACATATTTGTCTAACAGAGTCACTCACTTGCACAGAGAACACTGATCTGGCAAGGGACTGAAGGTGCTGTCACTATTTACATTAATAAGGGTCACTGATACTTGAGGCATATGTGGATTTTTCAGCCTATGGTTTTTGCTTTTCTCTTGGCTGGACCAATGCAGCCATCATTTCTTGCTCCACAATTGAAGAGGGCCATGCAAGTGCCATTGCAAGTGTGACACTTGAACTCTCTCTCCTTAACACTTTCTGCTTTTTATCATTCTTGCATTTGTTTGCACACATTCTCACTCACATCACTCCAATATATGCTCATTAGGGGCATATTGAAATCTGTGGCCAATCAGAACACCTCTGTCTAGAAAACAAACTTCAGTACATAGCCTCGAGTGGCATTGATGGGCAGTTTCTCCAGCTTCTATCACCACTGGAAGATATCATGCACAGTATTAAGGCCATGAAGAAGAAGAGAATGGTAATTTACTAATGTTATTCCTGCTTATTGGCTGGCTACCAATATCAGAGACATGTCACCAAAAACTAGTTCATGTACAAGTAAATAGTATGCCCATGAAATCCAAACAACAATGGAAGTAACACGTACCATTCAATATGATTCATTGGTATGATTCCCAGCTCTGCCATTCATTCTTTGTGAGAGTTCTGTCCAAGCATTTCACTGCTGCATCTGGAAAACCTGTGATGTAAAATTGGGATTAACCCTTTGTAAAGCACAGAGAGAGCTGCACATGAGAATTACAACAAGCTGTTTCTCATAAACATGCCATGTTATTTCAGAAGAGCCAAGCTCCTTAACCATGTTAAAATGTTCTAAAACAAAGTTATAATGGAGCAATGGTTGCCCAAAGGAAATCTCAAACAAAGCTTAATTAATAATTGAATGTAATGGCATTTTAGCATTTTATGTGCTATCCAATGTAATAAAATAAATCTCTAAAACGTGCACATTTTTGCTAACGAAGTTTTATCCTGATGGAGTTCCGTCTGTTGGTAGCCTGCACTAAGTTTACTAATGTATCTGCTGGAGTTCTTCCAGTTTGAAAAAAAAAAGAATTGGGTTTATATTACTAGTTTTGTTTTGATCACCTCTCACACACAATGGGCTAAATCGGTTTCAGTGGTAAATGCTGAAATATTATAAGGAGTCCAAATGGCTGTGGATTCTTCCCATCTGTCATGGTCTGCAACTAGAATACTATACTAGCAAAATGATACCACTTTCAAACTAAAAATAAATCATCAGGCTAAGTCTGTATCTCTAATCCTGTGTGTGTTGTCCTACCAATGACCTTCCCTGGCCAGTACAAATTATACTCTTTAGGGAATTCATAGAATCTTGGTATTCTTGCTAGCTTATTTCTATTCTGCTTGTGAGCCAAAGCTGACAACTGCATCATAATGAACCAGCCATGTTAATGGTACAGCATTATGGGATGATGTGCTGTTATCCATTATGGAGTGATCCAGCTACTGTTGTACTCATATCTATTAACTTGTTTACTAGTTATTTGTAAAGATTGAGACATTGATGTGGAGTGTGTTTAAAAAAAAGTGGGTAAACTAACGTGAACTATACTCCATACTGCTGAAGAGAGAAGTGTAAGTGCCAGCTGTGTTTATTTTCCCCAGACCCTACTGCTAGGTGCATACATAATGGTCCATTTGAGATGAGTGGCAAAATCCACTCAGTGGAAGATTTCCTCGCCATTCCATCAAATTCTCCCATGCACACGGCAGGCAGGATCAGAGCTGATTCTCTGATCACAGTTCTTGTGCTACTCAAAACAAGATTCAGGACAACCCATTATAAGCATGATTTACAATGGAGGTGTTGGTACACCCTTAGGTATGCTTTGATTAGTATAAGGTAACACATACACAAAGAAAACCATAATGGCTCATAAATTGAAATGGTCTGTTTAGCACATAGAAAATACATTTGCAGAAGACTGCAACAAACAAACCAACCCATAAGAGAAAGCCAATTCATTTGTATTTTAGAGAAATCTAATCAGCGAATCAAAATTAGGAGAGTGCAGGAAAAATAGTCAATCAAGTGGTTTGTCATAGCAAAAAGTTATTCAAGACAAATGTGTTCCATATCACATTACAAAATATATGTACACATTTTATTTACTTATGGTCTCATCTTCAAAAACTGTAAACACCCATGATTCCTACACACTTAACTGGAGTCAAATACCAAGATGTGGGCTCAAATTTTAACATCTCCAGATTGCAAGTGGCTGAGTTCAGACTCACATCTGTCAGGGACATTGCAGATTTTCAGAGACAGGTGTAAGCCTGTGAGGGGACATTTGAAAATTGTGTGTTATAACTTCTTAACAAGTAAACATTTTCCCATCTTAAACACTCACACACACACAAAGTATTTTTAAATAAATGTTCAGTTTGATTTGTACCAGTAGGAAATAAAAATAGATACTCATACATTTTCAACATCAGCTGAACTATAAGATTTGAGAAAGATGAGGATTTTAATAAAGGCACTCATGGAAGTGTAAAAATGGTATTCATGTGGCAGACCCCAAAATGTCTGCAGACATGAAAAGGATTACCTTTGAAGTGTAAAGATCAAAAAACATTTTTCAGGTAATAAGATCTCCCTCAGATGGATTTCAGTATTTCAGTAATAGGAACTGACTTCTCTATAGTGAAGTAATAAAAAAAAAAAAAAAAGAGCAGAGCACAATAAAACTACAACTCAGTCATTCACCCTTAGATACTCACCATAGGGTCTCCCAGGCTACATCTATACTGCAGAGCTATTCTGCATCTTAAGAACAAGCCCATTATATCAAAATATAAAGGGTGCGCTATTCTGACATCCCTGTAAACCTCATTGAAAGAGGGTTAAGGGATGTTTCAGAATAGGGCTTTATTTCAAAATCTGATGCTGTGCAAACACCAAATTACCAAATAAGCCATTGCGAAATTACCTCAAAATAAGCTACACAATTTGTGTAGAACAAATTATATAGCTTATTTCGAGGTAAGGATGTTGTGTAGATGTACCCCCAAAGTCACAAATGACGTTTACAGTGGTTAATGTAGCATTTGCACATAAGAACAGCCATACTGAGTTAAACCAAAGGTCCATCTAGCCCAGTATACTGTCTGCCGACAGTGGCCAATACCAGATGCCCCAGAGGAAGGGATCACAACAGGTAATCCTCATGTGATCCCTCCCGTCCCCCACCTCCAGAAAAACAGAGACTAGGGACACCATTCCTACCCATCCTGGCTAAAAGCCATTAATGGACCTAACCTCCATGAATCTATCTAGCACTTTTTGTACCCTGCTAAAGTTCTAGCCTTCACCACATCCTCTGGAAAGGAGTTCCACAGGTTGACTGTGCGCTGAGTGAAGAAAAACTTCATTTTGTTTGTTTTAAACCTGCTGCCTATTAATTTCATTTGGTTATCCCTAATTCTTTTACTGTGGGAGTAAGAAAATAACTTTTCCTTATTCACTTTTTCCATACCAGTCATGATTTTATAGACCTCTATTATAGCCCCCCCTTAGTCTCCTCTTTTCTAAGCTGAAAAGTCCACGTCTTTTTAATCTCTCTTCATATGAAACCCGTTCCAAACCCCTAATCATTTTTGTTGCCCTTTTCTGAACCTTTTCCAATGCCAATATATTTTTTGAGATGAGGCAACCACAACTGTTCTCAGTATTCAAGATGTGGGTGTACCATGGTATTATATAGAGTCAATAAGATATTTTCTGTCTTATTTTCTATCCTTTTTATGATTCCTAACATTCTATTTGCTCTTTTGACTGCCTCTGCACACTGAGTGGATGTTATCAGAGAACTATCCACAATGACTCCAAGATCTCTCTTGAGTAGTTGTAGCCAAATTAGTCCCCATGGGTATGTCTACACTACCACCTTAGTTCGAACTAGGGTGGTTAATGTAGTCGACCGAAGTTGCTAATGAAGCCCGAGATTTAAATATCCCGGGCTTCATTTGCATCTTGCCGGGCGCCACCATTTTTAAAGCCCTGGTAGTTCAGACCCCGTGCCTGCGGCTACACGCGGCACGGAGTAGGTAGTTCGAATTAGGCTTTCTAATTCAAACTACTGTTACACCACGTTCTACGAGGAGTAACAGCAGTTCGAATTAGAAAGCCTAATTCGAACTACCTACTCCGTGCCGTGTGTAGCCGCGGGCACGGAGTCCGAACTACCGGGGCTTTAAAAATGGCGGCGCCCAGCAAGATGCAAATGAAGCCCGGGATATTTAAATCCCGGGCTTCATTTGCAACTTCGGTTGACTACATTAACCACCCTAGTTCGAACTAGGGTGGTAGTGTAGACATACCCCATTATATTGTATATAGAATTGGGATTATTTTTTCCAATGTGCATTACTTTACATTTATCAACATTCAATTTCATTTGCCATTTTGTTGCCCAATCACTTAGTTTGGTGAGATCTTTTTGATGCTCTTCACAGTCTAGTTTGATATTAACTATCTTGAGCAGTTTGGTATCATCTGCAAATTTTGCCACCTCACTGTTTACCCCTTTCTCTAGATCATTTATAAATAAATTGAATAGAATGGGTCCCAGGACAGTCCCTTGTGGGACCCCAATAGTTACCTCTCTCCACTGGGAAAACTCACCATTTATTCCTACCCTTTGTTTCCTGCCTTTAAACCAGCTATCAATCCACGAAAGGACATTCCCTCTTATCCCATGACAGCTTACTTTACTTAAGAGCCTTTGGTGAGGGACCTTGTCAAGGGTTTTCTGGAAAACTAAGTACACATAATGGAATAATGTGCTTTTTTGTGCAAATAATGGAGTTTGAAATTACTTGGGGATTGTGGTGACACCATAACAAACCCCAAAAGCAAGGCTCAAGTTGTGACATCACAGAACTCAGAGATAAACAGACATTCTGGAAAAATGTGTTTGTTAGTATAAGGAGTCTCAGAGGGCTGTGGGTGGAGGAGAGAGAAAATACAGGTGATGGGTGCGTGGGAGGGGATGGGGGGCAGGCCACACAGAGGAGCAGAGAGGGGGCATGAGGGAGCACCCCATTTGGCAAGCCCACTGGAAGTGCACCTCCTGGGTAAGTTTCCACTTGCATAAAAAAGCACTGAAAAGAGAGACTGAGTCCTGAGGCTTTTCTCCCTTCACCTATTCTTTTTAATGGCTCCATAGATTTCTTAAGCTCTTTCTTCATTCCAGTGACATCAGTAAACCAAATATTAGCATAGTGTTTGTTTCCAGTACAGATTCACATTAGTCATTCCATTTTATCTTTTGTTTTTAATAGTACCTTTGATCACAGCACCTGAAAGCACTTTACAACAACAAGGGAGCCTCACACCATGCCTGTCAGGTACAGTAAGTGTCAGTATAGATAAACACTTGATAAAAGCACAGAGGCAAGTTCACTCAGTGGCAAAACTGGGACTACAGGCTCTCAGAATCTGACTGGTGCCGAATCAGAGAACTTGCTGAACCACGGAGGTTAATATTGTCTATCAGCATTACCAACACTTTCACTGCATACTGAGCTCTTAGAAGACATTTAGGGGTAAATTAGAGCTAAACAACAGCACAGAGTACTGAGAGCCAGTTCAGCTGAACAGTTTACCCAGTTCAGCTGAAAACAAACTTTATGGGACTGCAGGAAACTTGGCCTCACCTATGGTATATACACATTCGGCTAACTAAAATCATGCCAGACCACAGATGTTGCTGGACCAGAGAGGTTCAACCTGTAAAAACCTATGCCTCAGACAATCAGTCCCCTGCTCTGAACAATATACTTTCACATTGTTAGGGCTCTCCAGCATTCCCAATTTACACTTTTTATTGACAAGACTAAGTTCAAAGTGATGCAGCACTGGGTGAAATACCATAAAACTGGGAGAATTGTAAGAGCATAGTGAAAAACAAACTGATTCCTGTAATGTCACATCCACAAATTACAAGCTTTTGGTGACCTCAACCCCATGAAATATTTTTGTTTACCATATTAGCAATGGGCAGATTCTATTAAAATAAATCCACACCTCACAGTGTCTATACACAGCCAGGATGTTTCCTGCAGCTCAAGTCCCTTATTCTGCTCCCATTGAAGTCAGTGGCAGAAACTCTTATTTACCCAGTTCAGCTGCAGAATCAAATTTCCAGTGAGATTTTTGCTTTTTACCCAATTTTCTAGCTAAGCTGAGCTGACAGAAGCACTGGGAGATCAAGTGATTTACTCGTGGTTACACAATGAGTCAGTAGCACAAGACCAGATTAAAACCCAGCATATGCCCTGGCTCCAACAGGTCTCTCCTCCCAGTAGCTCACACAAGCTCCAGCTGTTTGCCCTATTCACATGGGCTGAATTTAGGGAAGTCTGTAGAAAGTTTCTTTTAAGTACAAATTCAGCTGGCAGCAGGCTTTCTGCTGTCAAACATTAGACTGGATTTTCAAGGACTTCACATCAATTTCCAGAATGGGGCCCTCTTGTGTTCCCCCTTTTAACCAACAGCTGCCTCTTTCTGTTTCGGTTATCTAAGAAGCAAAAAAGGTTTTTGGAATTTCTGATTTAACATGTGAGGAGGGAAACAAGTTTTCCCATAGAGCATTTGCTTCCTTTCTGACTAGAGCTCTGGGAGGCTTCATTTGCAACCATTCTAAGCATTCAATCTCACTAGGAAAGCATGACATGGCAGAGAGCGGATCAAGCCAGTTGCTATTTCAAATAATTATCTCAGATATACACAAAACTTCATAAAGGAGTTGTAGAGCTTGGCTAGGCTCCTGAGAAATTCCCCAACATAAGGGGAATCCCAGATACCACAAGTGGACACCCCCGTTCCAACACAAAAGACCTGCGTAGGAAAAAGAGGATGTAATCAGTTTTGCCACTGTTCTCAGGAGATCTCAGCTGCTTGTACAGCTCTTTCAGGCTGTTGGCAGCTTGGATCACTTTAATGCAGCTCTGAGGCTGCTCTAACTTTTATCCTTGGATCAACGTGGCCCACAGTACAAGGAACTTAAGGAAATGTAAATCCACCTTTGCCTTCCAACCCCAGTTTTGTACCAGATCTGGAAATGGAGACATTCCATTCTCAATGTAAAATATAAACTACATATGTATAAATAAATATAGATATATAGAAACATATATACATATTACAAGATTACACCATTTCCAGGAATCATGGGAAGAATTGTGGCCAAAATATTGGACTTCCTGTTTTCATGGAGGATACGTGGAGAAAAATTAAAACTTAAAAAGCACAAGTCATCTACAAAATCTTT